AGACATGCTGATGAACTCCCTGCTGCCTTGCCCCTCTTCCTGGTAAGCAACAACAACGCCTGCCAGAAAACTGACACAGCAGCTCCACCACACCTGTCTAATAGTGTTCTTTTTAGTGCAGTCGTCCATCTTGAACAAACCTGGAATCTGTTTTCATTCTTATAGTGTTTGTGCACTCTGCGTTTTCTCGGTTAGCTAAGGTTGCAGTTCTAACTCCACGAAGCAAGATTGTTCCTATTCTTTTGGGGGAAGGCCTTACAAATTATCTGTATGGACTATCTCAGCTGAATTAGCTACAGTGTACTAAGAAGAAAGTACACTGTGTCCAACTTTTTTTGTATCTCCTTTGATAATGGGAGACTGTTTGGCACTTACTTGAGTATATTTCTCAAGTCACAACCTCAGACTTAAACAAAGCTGGCTGGTGAATGGGAAAAGATACCTAGTTGACTGAACAAAGCAATTAGGAATACAATCTGGGTAAAAATGCTAAGCAAGATGTTTAGTATTCATTTTAGTAATTCCTCTTGCATGTTCAAATTTTGTCAACAGATGGACAAGATGGAAAGCTCCCCAGATAAACAGAGTGGCTGGAGAATGTACAAATTTCAGTCAAGATATGTACATTCTCCAAGGCCCGTTTGGTGATCATGTATATTGACCAGGAAATGCACACAATTTCTTCTTCATGGACATATTATGGACATCTTCTCTATGAGCTGTGGTGAATGTGCACGATGACCAGTTGTTAGGCACATCAATTTCTAAACTTACCCTTAGATCTAGATTACATCACAAAGTCATCCCGTGTCAACCTGTTTTTCACAGTTTTCTGAATTATGTGGTTTCTATATGACAATCAATGCAGAGCTTCTTATTTGAGAAGGAATAACAGAAAACATAGTTAAAACATCTGTATGCAACTCAAACCAATTTAAAATAAACTACAAAGAAGTGGCAACAATTTGTTGGGTTTTGTTAATGTGTTTAGTTGTTTTCAAGGGATTATTTGAAGCCATTAAATTTCTAAGTTTTTCTTTAAAAACCCCCAAAAACTACTTCAGATACACTGTTTTTGGACATTCATGTATTTTTGGTTTGTAATTGGGCTGTGTATTATAAATATCCTGTAATTTATATTCCTTTCCTATGTACCCACTCTGAATGACTTTCCTGCTATGCATCCTAATTATTTGTTCCTTCAGAAATCTTTTATTGGATTTTTTAAAAAGAACAGAAAAAACCCTTATGTGAGCTCTATCATTAAGAATAAAGCTCCCTAACAGGAATCTCTGATGCAAGCCTATACACAAGTCATTAGATTTCTTTTTCTTTAATCCAATACAATGATAATACTTTTACTAGGGCTAACTAAAAATCTGTAGGTTATCTTTTACGTATTCAGTCTTAAATGTGGGGCCTAGGAGGGCGAGAAGAAAAACAAGTTGTTATTAAAGAACACGTGAATAAGAAGTTTCTCTCTTTCTGTTATAATGCAAGAACTCAGGGCATACAAGTAAGTTTAATGTTGGAAGATTCAGGAGAGACCAAAGAAAGCACTATATATATATATGGAAATGGTAAGAAGGGATTAAATGGGGGGGATATCAGATGGCATTTTGATGAGGACAGTGTCATGTGGATGCTGTGCCAAACTTGCATGCATGAGCAGAATGGAGTCCACAGCAAACTCCTACGTGGAAATACCCAAGGACGTATACATACTTGTCTAGAGTAGCTGCTTCGGCTTTGCCAGAAGAGAACAAATAAATAACCCAGAGAGACAGCAAAAGAAGGAACAGACTTACACAACCATTGCACATGCTAATTTATAAGTATAGATGCAAAGTTCAAAATAACTGCCGCAATTTAAGAGAAATGCATCCCACCAGAAGACTTGTTACCTTGGGGCTTTCAGTTCTTTCTGTCTAGGTGCTAAATGTTTGGCAACTTCTCTTGGAAAATGCCCTGAGAGTGCCCCTGCAGCCCCGAACTCCGAGTGTCCTCTGGTATGCGCAGCTCTGGAAAAGGAATTCCCCTTCTTCTCCAGTGCGCTTCAGCGACATATATCAAATGATAGATGCACACTAATCTTCTAGCATAACACAGCAAGAAGCGTGAGACATCGTAATCTACGCATTTATTTACACACTATGCACAGACAAAGGAATTATGGCATCCTCTTTCTCCAGCTCCAAGAGGAAAATATAGGTACAAGTAAAAGCAAAAGTACAGTACGATAGTACTTACAGAGGAAGAGATAAGACTGTCTTCTGTTCCCACACTCTTCCCAGAAAGGCATGTGATTTACACCAATCTCATCTGCAGCATCAGAGGCATGAAATACTAACAACTTCAGGGCAACTTCAACTGGAAAGTCTGTGAAAATATCTATCTATCTATCTATCTATCTATCTATCTATCTATTGATGATGATGATGATTATGGTACCAAGGGCATTCATCTGTAAAGAAGGAAACACGACCACCCTATATTTTCCTAGAGTCCTTACTTTTGTATAGAGAAAGAATGGATTGTGCTGCAGTAAGTTTGATTATGCCCAATACAAAAGCCCACAAGCTGTCCGCAAAAATGTTCCGGGACAAAGAAGTAATCACTGCTCTCCTTTTAAAAATAAGCCATCACTTATCCAAACCTGCTTCTATCACTAATCCCCGGTGCCTTGTAAGGCAGAAAGCAGAAGCAAAGAAAAAAGTGGTCCTATCCTAGTGGCAGATAAGGAGTATAATTTTAGATGACACACTAGGTAGAGAATCAATAGAAGCTAAATTGTAGGGGATGAGGAGGACTTAATTTTCCCAGATGCTGAATTATCTGCCTCTAGTTTTATGGCTACATTCAGTATTCTCCAAAGTATTTCTTTCCAATTCCTATGACTACTTGAAGTGGCAAGTAGATCGGGGGGGGGGGGGGAGAGGATGAAACACAATACAGGCAGTCAAGCTGGTCTTCAAACTATGTGGTTTTTAATTGGCCCTATATTATGCTGGACAAGACTCTTGAGAGTCCCATGGACCGCAAGAAGATCAAACCTATCCATTCTTAAGGAAATCAGTCCTGATTGCTCACTGGAAGGACAGATCCTGAAGCTGAGGCTCCAATACTTTGGCCACCTCATGAGAAGAGAAGATAGAGAAGAGAAGAGAAGAAGAGAAGAGAAGAGGGCACAAGGAGAAGGGGATGACAGAGGACGAGATGGTTGGACAGTGTTCTTGAAGCTGAAAACATGAGTTTGACCTAACTGTGGGAGGCAGTGGAAGCCAAGAGTGCCTGGTGTGCTCTGGTCCATGGGGTCACGAAGAGTCAAACACGACTAAATGACTAAACAACAACAACAACATATTATGTTACTGCCCCATATGGAAAAGGTAGCCAATTAGATATCTTTTGGGATGGGGATGGGCAGAATATCAACCACAATGCACAGAGACTGATGGGGGTGGTTGTCTAAAACTTTTGGAGAATGCCAGGATGGGAAAGCTTGACCTCTGAACCTATGTGGCAGTTTTTGCAAAGATCAAGAAACCAAATGCTTCTACCTCTCGGGTAGCCACTTACTAGAGCAGCAGGAGCCAACCAGTCCACCCAATATCATTGCCCTGTCTTCCCCATGCAGAGGACCTACCACTTGCTTGTTCTTCCCATTATTTTGGAAGAAACTTTTGAATTATTTTTAACCTCTCTTGCAAGCCTGAACTCATTCTGAGCCTTAGCCAGCCTGACTTCCCCCCTGCAAGTGCTGGCTACTCGTGTATACTCCTCCTTTTTGATTTCCCCTTTCTTTCATTCCTTATACATGCCCTTCTTAACTATCCAGCTCATCTGTTTCAGTAGTGGTGAACCTGCAGTCCATGGGCATAATTAAGCCTGCCAAGGATTTGGCCCATGAGGCTGGTTCAACCAAACCACACCTGCCTGCCCTATACCTGAGGACACCGGACATCATATATACACAGTATATGAAACTCTTGTTCATCTTTGCTTTTCTCACTTCCATCCTTCAGCCAGGAAGGAAAACTCAGCCACTAGTACTTAATATAAGCCTCCTAGATTCTAGTGTAGCAACTTGCAGCTGGAAGTTTGTAATGATCAGTGAAAGAGCACATATTATCATGTGTTATCTCAGATGATGAGGCCTAAAGGCACTGAAAAATGTTACTGCAATTGTTTTCAGAATTAATTCCTGTAAGAGGAAGTGCCACAACCAGCGTCTCTGAAGTGCCTTACTAGGGTACAACAGATGGAATTATAATATTCTCTGATTTCTCTTGTGTTAAGTATATGCATCAGCAATGGATGAATGACGCCATCAGTGGAGTACTTCTACCATAACAATGTTTCATTGTATGTATGAGATTTCAATGAAATGAAGAGAAGAAAGTGATACTTTATAACGTCTCTACCCCATTAGCTCCACTGACAGGGAGGCTGTCTGTCTTTGAAACATAACTGGAATCCTTGTTTATTTTTACTTTCCAAAATGTAAAAAAAGAAAGAAAGGGAGATAAGACTTGCAAATGTCCATATCACCTGAAGCTTGTCCTGAGATCAATTTATGATCGTCTTCTGTTGATTTGTGCCTCTAAAGTAGTCTGACTAAAGGTGATGAACAATACCCAACATTCATCATAGGCTTGGTGAAGTCAATGGACTTAAGTATGTCCACTGATTTCAGTGTGTCTGCTCTGAGTGTTACCATGGTTAGTGATCATCTGTTATATTTATATTTCACATCTTGAGATGAACTATGTAAAAAAAGAGACTGCTGCATATATATATATATATATATATATATATATATATATATATATATGAAATGTGTGTGATTGCTCCACAACACCTAAATGCAGTGGATAGGTGGTAAATAAGAGTAATGGCCAAACCCTATATTATCCCCGCATAAATACAGACCTCCATTCTCTACCGCTGCCTTCCAGTGATAAAATATTTCATTCCCTTCTGTACCATGCAGGCTGAATGATGCTAATCCTTTGGAAAGCAGCATTTATTACCTACCTGGCCAGTGTAAAGTGCTGCATTCTAAAGGGATTATCTTCTTCCCTCCTCCTTTGTTCATCCAGAGAAGTAGAGGAGAGGGATGAGATAATCCCCTGCAAATGGAGCATTTATTACCTATGTAGCAGATGCGGAGTGCAGTATTCCAGAGGGATTTACAATGGCCAACTCTGCTTGTGGTGGAGTTAAACTCTATTGTTGCAGAATGAAGAAAGAGCTCAGGTGGCTTGACTCAGTTTGGGATTCTTTTTTTTATTATGGCCAAGCACTACTATTTTTGATAACTACCTGTGTGTGTATTCTGCCTCTCCATTTGTGCCAAACAGAATCCATATGTGGAAGTTACTAGGGGTGATCACACACATTCCATTCCATCAACATACTTCTCTACCCAGTAGTTGATATGTACAAATCTACACGTGTATACTCTTTCACACAAACACTTGTACATATGTAGAGACAAGATGCACCTGTGTTGAGTGTATCAGGCAGCTTCTTATAAGCGTTGGCTTAAACCCTGTGGAGGCTCCTAGGCAATCGAAATCTCGGAACCCCCTAATACTTCTTTGTAATTTTCTTTCAAGATCAAATCAAAATTGTTTTGATCCATTGTTGCGGGACCCCTAAAAGACGTGGGGCCCATAGGCCGGGGCCTACTCTGCCTATTTGGCAATCCAGAACTGCTTCTTATGCTCCCTACATTGATATATGTGATGCAAGGAGCTTAAGGAACTAAACTTTGTGTTGCACCTTGACATTTCCCTGAAAACAATAGGCAATGGGTCTCTGGTGCTATGTTTCTATGTTTCTATGCACAAAAGTAGGCGTGGCTCTCCAAATTCTGCTGGACTACAACTTCAATGATCCCTGACCCTTAGCCCTGCTGGCTGAGACTAATGGGAGATGACATTCAGCAGCATCTCAAAGGCCACAAGTTCCCCATGCCTTCCCTAGTCTGTTCAGACTTTTGACCATCTACCCAGTACATTTTGAAGCTTGGAGACACTGGAAACCTACTGCATTAGATAGTAAAACATTGCCCTGGTTTTTCAGGTTATGATTTCAAAGTGGCCTGAACCACGAAAAGAGGATCACTAAAAAGTACAGTGGTACCTCAGGTTACATACGCTTCAGGTTACATATGCTTCAGGTTACAGACTCAGCTAACCCAGAAATAGTGCTTCAGGTTAAGAACTTTGCTTCAGGATGAGAACAGAAATCGTGCTCCGGCGGTGTGGCGGCAGCAGGAGGCCCCATTAGCTAAAGTGGTGCTTCAGGTTAAGAACAGTTTCAGGTTAAGAATGGACCTCCAGAACGAATTAAGTACTTAAACCGAGGTACCACTGTAATAAAATTGTATTTATATTCCTTCTGGCTACATCTTCACAACATCTGAAAATGCATCATAACCTGATACTAAGGGTGGAATGGTGTGCTGCCAATTCCGTCGCTTGGCTCAAGGTCAACATTCCACCATCTAAGGCCACTTGAGTGGTTCGCAAGAATAATTTTAGTTTAAGAGTCAGGCAATTGTATTCAGAGCAGTACAACTTTCCCACAGGGCATCGCTGAATCCATATTGCCAGACATAATCTAGGAGGATAACATTTCCACTCTTTGTGTTTTTGTGCAAGTCAAGCTGCAAGTGTAGGCTGCCAGTTTGGGGAGCGGGGAACGGTGCCGACTCCGATGTACTTAACTCAGACTTCATTACATGAAGATTTAAGGATGAAATCCCAAGGTGTCTGGTTCTGCTTCTAGCTGTCATTCTGATGTATGAAATGCAAACAGCTCAGCGGGTGCTGCCTAAGTAAGAAGAAACAAAGAACAACAAAATTGCCATATTGACAATATTTCCCTGTATTTATGCCAGTTGGCACAGTTGATGCTTGGTTGGGCTGACATTGATTAAATCACTCTTACGCAGAAATGTCCCATTTTCATTGCATTTTTCATATATCTCTTAACTGGGTGATGTCGAGATGTGACTTGTTTTCCATGCTTCTTTATCTGGAGAGAATTTCTAATTTGCTCGTAGCATCGTTTGCCTCTCTTGAAATGTGTACAAGTATACACTGGCTCTGCCTCCCCTCATTTCGAGTGCGGACAGGAACGGAAAGAGATGTTAAGCATGAACTACATGTCAACGACTCACAGACCAGAAGAATTCCACCTTCCTTCAGCGTTGCTAAATGTAACGATTAAGTCACTTGTACATTCGAGCAAATCTGAACAGAACATTGAAGAAAAATGCTGACAAACTGAACAAACCATATTTTGTCCAGTATAGCAGAATTCACAGGGCAGTTATCTCTGTGTTCCAACATTTTCCTAACTGCTAATTCCTGCATTTGATTTGAGCTTTCACACAATATAAAAGCCACTTCTGGAACTAGAGTGAAATACACTGCAGGTTTTGTGCTCATTTCCATGTCATTTGCTTCCAGGGCTGTATTTCTGGAAGTGGCTTTTTAGGTCAGGTGAAAGCTCAAATATAATGTGGAAATTATGAGGTTGGTGAACTGTTGTAGGAATGCAGCCTATGATTGTGAAGGGTCTGTTCAAGCAGGGGCGGAGCTACCTGCTCTGGCACCCGGAACAACGTGGGGGCGGGGCTAGCCAGCCCACGGGGGTGGGGCTAGCTGCCTGCATGGCAAGCATGGGGAGCGCTGCTTGCCACCTGCGGGGCGAGTGTTGGAAGGGGCACTGCTAGCATCCTCCCTAGCAGCCCGAGCATGGGGTGGGGTTGGGGGTGGTGTGGCGATTTCACCTGTCCTCACGGCTGACACCCAGTGCGCACCGCACCCCCCCACACACACCTTCCTCCGCCAGTGCGTTCAAGACCTTGTTTGAACTAAGATATGGATTAAGATGTGGATTGCTAGAAGTGGGGAGACCCCCTCCCCACCCCAATAATTTAGCTTCTGGGAAGGCCCATGCATAGTCAATTACAGTGGTACCTTGGGCTAAGAACTTAATTCATTCTGGAGGTCCGTTCTTAACCTGAAACTGTTCTTAACCTGAGGTACCACTTTAGCTAATGGGGCCTCCTGCTGCCGCTGCACCGCCGCTGCACGATTTCTGTTCTCATCCTGAAGCAAAGTTCTTAACCCGGGGTAATATTTCTAGGTTAGCAGAGTCTGTAACCTGAAGCGTATGTAACCTGAAGCGTATGTAACCCGAGTTACCACTGTAATAGGATTTCCACAGTGGCATCATTGAAAACGAAGTATGTGGTCACAAGTCACTGTTTTCCCAGTTACAGCCTAGTGCAGCTAAAGAAGTGGAAACATGGCTTAGATTAAATGCCCCATTGCAGCTTGGGTATCAAGATGTGTGCATCTTTCGGGACTGTGCAAGGAGGGCGAATCAACATCTGGGATGCGGAGGTGTTTGGCAACGGGGAAAGAAGTGATGTTGAGATTTTGTGGGTCTACTTAAGGAGTATGTCTAATTTGGGTGCACGATAAAGGTCGCACACTTAGAAGAGCGATAACATTTTAAAGAATGTTTCAGAAACGGCGCCTTATTGATGTGATTCCCTTCGCAATGCAACCATTGTGACTAGCCCTTGCTGTGCTTTACGATTTCATTACATCAAAATGGATTTGCGTGTTCTTTCTCAGCAGTGAAGCAGTGCTGCAGCTAGGTTTCATAGCTCCACATCCAACAGTTACCTTATTTGTTAAATCAAAAATGGCACTTTCTTCATAATGCAAGGAGAGGCAAGAGATCGCTTTCGGGCTCTTCAGCCATTGTAGTCTCCAAAATGCCTTAGTACCTCTGCCAGGTGTAAGATGCCTTGCAGCTATGGATTAATTTCCTTTTCAGAAATAGAGTTGCATTTTCTATAGTGTTCCAAGACATTGAAGTGGGGTGAGAATGATGGGGATTATGCGGCTATGCAAAGGGGAAGTGTTTGAATTTTTGTTTTTGTTTTTTTAAAACTCATTATAATTTATAAGATGCACATATATTTGGTGTAAGCTGTTCTGAACCATGGGGAACAGTGAAGGATTATGAAAGAGGTATGTTTTCCAGTCTTTCATTTAATTAAATAACCATATGTATTTAATTTGCTTGTAATGGCTGCATATATCTTTGTGGTTCAAACATTTTTCTAGCATGTATAACAAACCACTGTGTTCATGCCCAGTGTGTGGGCATCCCCTAAGCATCTAGGTGGCAACTGTAGAGACAGGATGCTGGACTAGGTAGGCCTTTCATTTGATCCACCAAGAATCCTCCTGGTTGTTACCTATGCTTCTTTGGTGATTGCACTCAGCAAAATATATGAGATATTTATAAAAGCTATGTGGAAATCCTGCATTTGTTTTGTTTGCCTCAGTAATTGGCATCTTCTCCTTTTTCTTTTTTTCTTTTTTTAAAAAAGAGCACTTCTAAACCTTGGCTTCCTGAGAATCAATCCATTTAATGGCTGTTTGAGTTTTGCAGGTATTATTTATGGTTATTTAGGTGTAAAAAGAGCCTCGCAAACTGAGAGGGGAGAGTTTAACCTTCGGTGTCAAGTACAGCTTTATAAAACACAAAGACTGGCTACAGGCAAATTAAACGAACAGGCATCTCCAGCCTTTGCAAGTGCTGGAGAGGTATTGTGTCAGGCAGTCAAGCAGAACAAGCCAGGTTGTTTCACTAAATCCAGAGCTCCTTTATCTCCACCCGTAAATGTGTCAATGCGCAAAATGAGGCCATCCTCAACTCCGCGACATGTAAAATAAATACTAAAAGAGATCTATCGCTTCACTCTTTGCCCACTCATCATTGGTCAGTCTGGTTGTTTTTCACTCTTGAGAGCAATGTTGTTGTTGTTGTAGTGATTGCAGCCAGAATCACGAAACAAATGACATTTCCTTAAAGTTATCCTCTGATATTGCTACTGGAAAGCACATGCAGCTTGTGATCAGAAGAACTATTCTGGGCAATTGACAGGGTAGAAACAAGCATGGCCATTTGTCAGGGATCCTCCAGCTGTGATTCCTGCATTGCAGGGGGTTGGACTAGATGATTCTTGGGATCCCCT